ATATTTATTTTTTATGAAAAAAGTTCAGCCAATTAAATGACATGTACTTATACATCTTGCACGAAGTCAAGAGAAAAACTAATGCTATTTAAAAGATAACTAGTAGATGGTATGAAATACTTAAATTAAAAGTTTTGTTAGCTTTCGTTTTTGTTTTCTAGTTTCAGCGCAGGACGATGAAGGTCCATATAAAGGCAAGTTTATTGGTAAAATTAATTCTTATCACCATCAAGTATCAGGAGATGTTTACGCAGTAGACGAATATACTTTGCTGTTAACGAAATTTAATTATGATGGTAATGGTGCTGACACTTTCTTTTGGGCGGGTGCTGCAAATCGACCGGGACCTCAAGGGTTCATAGTATCCGACGAATACGGAAAGTAAGGGATATCGTATATAGCACAGTAAAAACAATAAGAATAGATTGAAGTGGATTTTATTTTTAACAACCTCGGTAGTAACGACTTTTTGATTCTAACGATATAACACTTAAGTCCCTTGAACTTAAAAGAGATACCTACACTGGGAAATTCGTTATTTATAGTGAACTCGGATGTAATGCTAATTTCGGATACAGCGCCTACTTTCAATGAGCCATTTGTTCATATACAGAGAAAGTCTGCCCCTATTAACTCCTGTTTTTGCTTCTAGCGTATTTATAACGAGCCTTTTTCATATCTGACGATGAAAAGGTGTCCTACCAACCTATCTAGTTACTTCTTATTGACTTCCTTAGCGTCATCTGTTCTCTTACTCCTTCTAATATTTTCTCTTTTCGAACCTTTTCTGTCCGCGGTAATTTTAAAATCCCTCTATAACACACATTCGTCAGGCTCTTCTAATTTTTTTTTTCTTTTCCGCACCAACCACGTTCACGTTTCATATCTTTACAGAGCCTAGCTTCAGAGAAAGGTACACTTTTAATAATCTTTTTCGAATTGTCAAAATTTCCACAAAAGTGATTTCTTTTTGTTAAAAGCGATCCAACCCTACACTATTATTCGTTTTATATCTAGCACTTTTTTATCCTGGGTTCTGGCTCCTTAAATATCAAAAATCGACGACTACTTCCAGTTATTGATCTCCTATTTTTATAGTAGCGAAATAAAATTCATATAAAACTGTCGTTATTTTCGCTGGTGTTTAAATTTCCCAGAGAGAATTTTCTAATATTCTAAAAAGAAATGCAGTTAACTGTCGAAAACCAATAACTCTTTAGCATAACTATGTTAAGTAGCTTTAATATTGCGTTTGCTCCTTATTAATCAGTAATTGTCCCTTAATTTTCAAAAAGTACCGACCGCACCAAAATAATAGATTATTTCCTGTACCATTCTCACATTACAAGAAGTGTACATATGATTCAATTTCTCCATTTCAGAACTAACGTTTTAGAAAGATATTTTAATAAAGACTTCACATTAACGTTACCAGAAAAGAAAAAGTTAACCGACATAAAGTGGTTCGCAATTTACGACATTTGGAGCCAAAACACCTTTGGAGACATTTACATTCCCGAAGATTTTGAACCTCCAACTGTTCAAAAAATAGGAAAACTTGCTGCCAAAAGTAACATGATCAGTTCAGGAAAAATTGAAGTTCTGGACGCTAAAAGTATTAGAATAAACAATCTTTTCTACGATGGTAAAGCCAAAGACGCTTATTTTGTTGCTGGAATTGGCCCTTTGCCGAATTCAAAGGGGCATAAAATTCCAGACGAATATGGATAGTAAGTGTTCAATTAAAAATATAATTTGTACGTAATAGAATTAAACACAGAGAGTTATGAATTTTGGATATAAACGTTCTACGAATCTAAATATTTTTTTTTGTAGTCTAGATTCACTAAGGGCATATAAAAACCAAACAATCACTTTGGAATTACCAGGAGATTTAACTGTTTTCAATATAGACTGGCTAAGTATTTTCGATTTCGAAAACAAAGCAAATTTAGGTTCTATTTTAATAACAAGCGGTTTGAATGTTCCACCATCTCTCGTGAAAGTTATAGTAAGTACAACTATTTCTATTACTTATATAAAAAGATTTCTTAATTGCAAAAACAAAATTATTTTTTAAAAATTATTTCTATAACTGTTTCTGTAGACAAAAGAAAAAGTGATTCTTAAATGTGGTATTAAGAAAAATCCTAGGCAATATTAACATTATTTTTTTAATAGCCTAATTCTTAATCCATAACTTAATCATGAAGAAATTGCGAACGGTTCAAGGAATTTTGGAACATACTACTGAAATAGTTTCACTATGTCTTGATATTATCAGATTAAGACCTATTGTTAATTATTAACATCATATTTCAGTTTTTCTTCAAATTGTTTTGCATTTTACTTTTTTAAAGAAAACATAAGTAACGTAAAATCTGTTGACTTACTTAATTATTTTTGCAAAGGTCGATAGAATTGATAAAATTCGCGAATAATTTGTTTACCATATCAATGAATTACGTCTTTCGTTGACTCCGAAGAACAAACAAAGCAGAAAACATTTTTTTGTCCTTTTTATATTAAAACTAGGTTTTATCTGCGACTTTACTCGCGATCATGTCCTAAATACGTGTTAAAAATCATCGACGACCAGATAAAACTAATTTATCTGTCCCTCAGGAACAGTATTTTTTTTCTGGATAGAAGGCACCCCATGTCCTTTCCTATATCCCTGACAATAAGTGTACAAAATTTATGATAGGTTTTATCCTCGGCCTCCCTCGCATTGATGCCCTAAATGATCTTTGACGAGGATCATCGACGACAACATAAAACTAATGTTTCTATTGGACGAATCTAAACCCACTTATGGTAAGATATGGAATTTATTCCATATTTATTGATTTCAGCCTCATAAGAACGATTTACCAAACTGCTTACAACTTCATAGAGATTTTCAAGTTTCATGGGAAATCTTCGGACCTGCCATAACAATTCAACTTGCAGGACAAATTAAAGAGGATGAATATATGGCGTTTGGCTTGTCAGGATCACCAGAAAAAAGTCAAATGTTGGGGGCGGATGTTGCAGTAGCTTATATCCACGAATATAGAGGATTAGCAACAGATTACAACATTACAGCATTAACAGCGGTAAATATACCAAGAATAATAATTACTAAACGAACTTTTAGTAATTACAATTAAACTCTTACGATAGACGTATATTATCGATAAGGATGCGTATTACTTAGTACGTATTTTTGACCGTCTATAAATTGAATATTTTTATAGAAGTCCAAATTATTTTAGGATTTTTATTTTCTCCATTTTTAAGATATTATAGAAATCAAAACCAGATTGGTCGCAAAAAAGTAAAGTAATATCACAATCAATACCTTAATGTGGTACAATATCTAGATATAATTTATTGTAATACTTTCAAAATAGTTTCGTGAAAATCGTAATCTAGAATAAGAACGAAATCTAATATGATTGCGAAGATTTTCTGACCAAAATCCCTCAATTCCTATTATATTACTTCCAAAAACAGGTACTCAAATACAATGTGGGTACATAGAAAAAAATGCTCAAAATAACTCACCAAATACAAATACGTAGTTTTTCATAACATCAACCAACCTGTAATAAATATATAACACATATATTAACAGTCAGTAAAAAAGACAAACAATTATATATATTATTGAACAGATTCGCTCTCCTGTTGATCTAAATTCGAAGTGCAAGACAATTAATAAAAATTGAAGATATTTACAAAAAAATGTATATATCCAATGTATACGTTATGATCAATAGACAAAAATGTTCATTAGACGCTCTAATTAACAAACCATCTAATAAGCTAATTTTCGGCGATTACACGGTTTTTTACATGTTTCATTTGTTATTTTAAATACAACTCCAAACGAATGTTGTACTTATATTTTTTCATTAAAAACATAATTACCTTTTAATCAAAGTGATGAAGTTTTTCCTTGCTGTGCGTATTAATAATAAAACAATCACTAAACTTAGAAACACCAATCAATTTAACCGAAATTAAAAACAGAAAGACCAAAACTCTACTCTCAATATCCTATCACGGCAACGATTGTTCTTTTTCCTGCACTTTTATTAAACTGACTAAACTGTTCGTGTTTATGCAGTGTCTTCTACTATCGTAACAGCCTTTTTTTTAACACTGATTTCGTCACTATTTCTACTTTCGTTTGGCACTGATGTAGGTTGATAACAGATCCAGTTTTTTTACCATTTTTTTGTTCAACAAAACAAGCCTATTGGAATCTCGTAGAATAGAACACTATATAGAGTTTGTCACGAAAAAGTATGGTAAAATAATTGCATTTTGGTGGTACTTGTACTTACGTAATCATTGACATATTTAATAAAAGCGATGATGCTCAATTAATATAGAACTTATAATTAAATGTACATATATTTCTTTTTACACTTCTTTTAATCGCGTTTTTTACATACGATTCTATGTTAGGAAAAAGTAGATTGCATGGGTAATTGATAAATATTATAGATACCAATTTTGTACAAAAGCTTTCTCATTATCATTTTTTAGTGAATTATGTGTACTTAATATAAAATTGAGTTATTAACATTAAGTCAATAATTCTTTTAGTGCGTAAAAGTTCTGGGTCAATATAAAGGTGTTTGCAAAGACGAATTGGTGGGTGGTCAAGATAATAATCAAATCCACACTGCAGTACGCGAAAATGGTATTAATATTATTACGTACAGAAGAAGTTTAATATCACGTAAGTGAAGCAAATTTTTTTTATTTTTATTTCCTTTATTATATAAATTAAACTTTAGGATTCTTGATCAATTGCGTCCGTGTCTTATATTTAATTAAAGAATGTATTTTTTTACCGAAGCTGACACTGGAGATAAAGAGTTTCCTACAGAAGGGTCCGTCTATATTGTATGGGCCTTAGGTCGTCTTGACAAATCCAAAGAGCCAACATTTCACGATATTTATCCGAAATCTGATATCAAAATTGAGCTGAATAAAAAGGAACCGGCATCAAATTGCTTTGCATTTACAACAACCGACAGGAATTTAGTAGAAGTGTGGGAAAAAAATCAAATATTCGATAGAAATATTCGTACTTTCAATGCGTACCTTGGGCCTTCGGGAGGTAAAAAGGGTTACCAAGGAATGACAGGTAAACTGTAAATTACTTTATAATTTAACTTGTTACTTTTAATACTAAATATTTCCAAAAGTTGACGGATTGATTAGTACCTTTTTTGCAAGTTTTAAAAATGTGTAAAATTCCTGTCAAAAAAGCGGGAGAACTGTGTAACTTTTTAAAGCAAGACAAAAATATTGATAATACTGAAACAGTTAAACAATAAGTATATGTGTTAATTTGAGATGATACACCATGTGACAACAGCAACAATTTTTCCCTCATTAATTTGAGGTAGTTTGTAGTGGGTAAATAAAAAATCGAAAAAATGATTTCAAATTAATATTGCATATTAATCCACTATTAAGTAATTAACAATGTCATAGGATTTCATAGTTTCAAACCATTTTAAATTAAAAACAGTTTTTCTTTTTAGGACAACCATCAGCTCCATTGGCGTGGTACATAAACGGTCTTTTAGCGCCTGAGTTATGGCTCAGAAGAGGCTTAACATATTCGTTTAAAGTGAGAGGAGGCAACAATCCCCACAGTGCTGAGTTTTATCATCCCTTAATTATCACCGATGAACCGCACGGTGGATTTGACAGATTAACAGACGAAGCCCAGGCTCGAGTTCGGGTTCTTGCTGGTGTAGAATACTCAAGAAGAGGAAGACCGAGACCAACAGCAGGTAATAAATATACTTATCTTTTTACACACCAAACATATACATTTATCAAATTTATTTTCAATCTTTACCCGTTATAAATTACTTCAAGTTAATGAGAAAAAAAATTGTTGCTGTTGTCACACTCTCGCCGGGAATCGAACCCGCGACAAATTTTTAGCTTAATGTAATTTATAGTGGGTAAAGATTGAAAATGAATTTTCNAAGTAATTAAAAATACCTATACTTTGTTTCTTAGCTCAGAGAAACTACAAAAATGTAACTGTGAATAAATTTTAGAACTATAAATTAAATTGAACAATGCAGTTACTACACATGTAAGTCAAATTAATCATTGTATAGAGATAAGACCATTATAATTAATGCTAAATATTCTTACTATGAAACAGAATCACTTCTAATATTTCGTCACTGTAATAACATCTGTTTTATTCACTGTACACTTGGTTTGTAATATATAAAATATCAAATCTGCTTAAATCTGTCTGTTATGGCGTGGTCTTCGAAATAATAATATATGGGGCTCTGGTCCGTGCAACATGTAATGCACCCAGTGGGGGCTTTGTTGCACTCCTAAATTTCGCCACTCAGTTTCAGTCATTAAATGTGGACGAGGTACTAATTTTGCTAAATCTGGTGGTAAAATTACATGCCTATATTCGTAATTTTCATCACAATATTTTTCTGAATACTGTATATTTTCTGTAGGCATATTTAAATAACGGTTTACATGCAAATATTTTGTAGGTTACACTTGTTTACTTTATAGATTAACGTTTTGACAACCATTGATAACTGTAATAGAATAGAAGACCACAGAACATTACGAATGAAAAACACCGTAAAAAGGCGCCTGATTTAAAAAATTTTTGTACCTATAAAATGAAAGAGAACTAAACTAAATCACTTATTAAAACTGCAATAAACCTAAAAATTAAATATCTGTATTTAATTTGGCATTATTAAGTCTTTTTTTTTAAACTGCATATTCATGTGACTTAAACAAAATGTTTTATCTGACAAAGGAAGAACTGGAGAAATTTCGTTTCATTTAATCAGTGAAAAATTTACTAAACTTATATAACGACGTATTTAAATAGGAAAAGTGCTTAATAAATATTTTCAAAGTTAACAGTAATACATAAGATAATGTATGTAGCATGTCACCTTGCTTATAAGAGGTATCCAAAATTTAGTTGCAAGATGACCTTATTGTCGGTATATTCCCTATTTATAAACATTTTGTATAAAACTAATAGTAAAAAAATTAATTATAGAAGTTTGATAACGCTTATAAATCATTCGCACCTATCTGGTGTAATTTTCTTTTTTCTTTTGTTGATTACAATACTAATGAATAATCAAACTAGTAATCCTTTGTGGATTTCCTCAGCTTTTAAATAAATTACTTCAACAAAATGAACATTAAGGAGCGAAATTGAAAGTGCGCAAATATTTCAAGTGGATTACGAATACAATATGGATTACCTTTTATTTTTCAGTTATCAATAACAAATTAAGGATTAAAACCAAATAAACAACGGCTACAGGTATTTTAAGATAATAATTATAACGTTTCATGATTGGACAGTTAGTCGTACAAAACTTTTTACAAGTTATTGTATGGATGAGTTACTCGCTTGATCTACCGTTGAAATCATCGCGCTCAAAAACCGCATCGGTTTGTACAGTTATTATTGCCGAAGTATTCACACCCGAAACAAAAACATGTCGGATTCATTACAATTTGGACAATAAAATGTGAACACAGGCTTAATTAGATATGGAAAAGTTCATTTTATAAATCAATGGAAACTTATTTTTTTACAAAACGAAATAGCAACTGAAAGGTGACCTTCGTCGAGAGTAATAAGAAAAAGCGGTGTGTATAATAGTAACAAGAAGACAAGACACATTTAGAAAGCAACTTGAAAGTCAGTCACTTATTACTTACTGACTGTCTGGTATTTCTTCTGACCAGTAAACTAGTTAGTAGTTGGTGGTTATTCACTATCTTACAGACACAGGACACTCTTATACTTTTACTACATACCTAGCCAGAGTACACGAATAAAAATTATTAACATTAATTAGTTCGATGTGTTGGTGGTGATCGTACAGTGATTAACCTGAATAATAAACCAAAGACAAGACAATACACAAAATGACTTTATTTTGCGGATAAAATGAGGATAATATTGTTTTTATCACTAATCGGCTGCACTGTGTTTGCGGGTAAGATTTTTAATATGAAAGTTTTTTAATCGAATAAAATATGTTCAGCATACAAGTTATAAGTACAGTAGGTACGTACTAGTTACCAATACATAAATATATACATAAAGTTTTTTATATAAGTGTGTATTTTTTTGATAGTTATATTATAAATGCACGCCTACATTTTATAATTACATGTATAGTAGTGTAATAAATCTAATGAATCGTTTGGTGACATTATTTATAATCATATCTACCTACATAAAGAAATATGTTTAATAAATATCTATCAATAGTCAACTTTTATTCTTTTTGTCAATTTTTATAGTATCATTTTGATTAATTTAAACTTCCTAAAAGTCCTTTACCACAGGACCTTGATTGGGCGAATTAATTTAAGAATACAATTTCTACCATTACATTCATAATGAAAAAAGTGACTCATTTTAAAAGAGTCATTTCTATTAAAAGTGGGTAATTCTTGGATAAATTTTCCCAGTACAGTATCGATTTTTCAACATAAAAGAAAAACTCGACTAAACAGTATTAAACACCACTGCTAAAAGTATCTTTTCACTAAAATAGGAACCACTTTTACGTAATTATCTCAATCAATATGTTATTTTTTAGTAACTAATACTCAATTCACTTTCGAATATAATGCGTGAAAAATTTGAGTGATGATATAACAGGGGGTAATATTTTCAATTTTCCTAGTGACAAAATTAATAAAAATAGGGTTTAGGCATATTAAAATTTCCAAGTGAAAATTGGCGATGTTTTTTAAAGAATGTATTAACCACTGGCTGTTATACATTAATTATTTTTTGCATAAAATCCATTTTATATTGAAACGGTATTCCGAGCGCAAGTAAAATATGTAACACCAACAGTGTTATATTAGGCTTCTAACTCTTGACGTTAGATTAGATTCCGTTACATTAATTTATTATGTCTTATGATTAAAAATTCCTGCAGTTTGATCATCGAAGCGTTTCTTTAATTAAAAAGAAACGAACAGTTCGTAATTTTGGCATATTTAATTAATATAATGCAAAATGTGCTATTAAAATCATATAAAGTTAAATTACTACAATTAAAATCTTCAATCAAAATATCGTTATTACTAAATTGTGTATTTAACCGTAATAAATGGTAACATATAGGGGTTTCGTATTAGTTTCGTAAATTTTCGCTTCAAGTCATATAGAATGCAGAAAGTCAATTTTTGTTATTAATTACTTTAATTACCAAATAATATTTGTAGTAGTTGGAGAATATTATCATATATATGTATATCTGTACCTTATTCTGTTTGTTCTTCTTCTATTTCTATCTGTTTGTTTATATTAAGATGATTGCTAATCTAATTCGAACAGAATTTTTCCAAAAACGACTACATTATAGGTTTAATATTTATTTTTTATGAAAAAAGTTCAGCCAATTAAATGACATGTACTTATACATCTTGCACGAAGTCAAGAGAAAAACTAATGCTATTTAAAAGATAACTAGTAGATGGTATGAAATACTTAAATTAAAAGTTTTGTTAGCTTTCGTTTTTGTTTTCTAGTTTCAGCGCAGGACGATGAAGGTCCATATAAAGGCAAGTTTATTGGTAAAATTAATTCTTATCACCATCAAGTATCAGGAGATGTTTACGCAGTAGACGAATATACTTTGCTGTTAACGAAATTTAATTATGATGGTAATGGTGCTGACACTTTCTTTTGGGCGGGTGCTGCAAATCGACCGGGACCTCAAGGGTTCATAGTATCCGACGAATACGGAAAGTAAGGGATATCGTATATAGCACAGTAAAAACAATAAGAATAGATTGAAGTGGATTTTATTTTTAACAACCTCGGTAGTAACGACTTTTTGATTCTAACGATATAACACTTAAGTCCCTTGAACTTAAAAGAGATACCTACACTGGGAAATTCGTTATTTATAGTGAACTCGGATGTAATGCTAATTTCGGATACAGCGCCTACTTTCAATGAGCCATTTGTTCATATACAGAGAAAGTCTGCCCCTATTAACTCCTGTTTTTGCTTCTAGCGTATTTATAACGAGCCTTTTTCATATCTGACGATGAAAAGGTGTCCTACCAACCTATCTAGTTACTTCTTATTGACTTCCTTAGCGTCATCTGTTCTCTTACTCCTTCTAATATTTTCTCTTTTCGAACCTTTTCTGTCCGCGGTAATTTTAAAATCCCTCTATAACACACATTCGTCAGGCTCTTCTAATTTTTTTTTTCTTTTCCGCACCAACCACGTTCACGTTTCATATCTTTACAGAGCCTAGCTTCAGAGAAAGGTACACTTTTAATAATCTTTTTCGAATTGTCAAAATTTCCACAAAAGTGATTTCTTTTTGTTAAAAGCGATCCAACCCTACACTATTATTCGTTTTATATCTAGCACTTTTTTATCCTGGGTTCTGGCTCCTTAAATATCAAAAATCGACGACTACTTCCAGTTATTGATCTCCTATTTTTATAGTAGCGAAATAAAATTCATATAAAACTGTCGTTATTTTCGCTGGTGTTTAAATTTCCCAGAGAGAATTTTCTAATATTCTAAAAAGAAATGCAGTTAACTGTCGAAAACCAATAACTCTTTAGCATAACTATGTTAAGTAGCTTTAATATTGCGTTTGCTCCTTATTAATCAGTAATTGTCCCTTAATTTTCAAAAAGTACCGACCGCACCAAAATAATAGATTATTTCCTGTACCATTCTCACATTACAAGAAGTGTACATATGATTCAATTTCTCCATTTCAGAACTAACGTTTTAGAAAGATATTTTAATAAAGACTTCACATTAACGTTACCAGAAAAGAAAAAGTTAACCGACATAAAGTGGTTCGCAATTTACGACATTTGGAGCCAAAACACCTTTGGAGACATTTACATTCCCGAAGATTTTGAACCTCCAACTGTTCAAAAAATAGGAAAACTTGCTGCCAAAAGTAACATGATCAGTTCAGGAAAAATTGAAGTTCTGGACGCTAAAAGTATTAGAATAAACAATCTTTTCTACGATGGTAAAGCCAAAGACGCTTATTTTGTTGCTGGAATTGGCCCTTTGCCGAATTCAAAGGGGCATAAAATTCCAGACGAATATGGATAGTAAGTGTTCAATTAAAAATATAATTTGTACGTAATAGAATTAAACACAGAGAGTTATGAATTTTGGATATAAACGTTCTACGAATCTAAATATTTTTTTTTGTAGTCTAGATTCACTAAGGGCATATAAAAACCAAACAATCACTTTGGAATTACCAGGAGATTTAACTGTTTTCAATATAGACTGGCTAAGTATTTTCGATTTCGAAAACAAAGCAAATTTAGGTTCTATTTTAATAACAAGCGGTTTGAATGTTCCACCATCTCTCGTGAAAGTTATAGTAAGTACAACTATTTCTATTACTTATATAAAAAGATTTCTTAATTGCAAAAACAAAATTATTTTTTAAAAATTATTTCTATAACTGTTTCTGTAGACAAAAGAAAAAGTGATTCTTAAATGTGGTATTAAGAAAAATCCTAGGCAATATTAACATTATTTTTTTAATAGCCTAATTCTTAATCCATAACTTAATCATGAAGAAATTGCGAACGGTTCAAGGAATTTTGGAACATACTACTGAAATAGTTTCACTATGTCTTGATATTATCAGATTAAGACCTATTGTTAATTATTAACATCATATTTCAGTTTTTCTTCAAATTGTTTTGCATTTTACTTTTTTAAAGAAAACATAAGTAACGTAAAATCTGTTGACTTACTTAATTATTTTTGCAAAGGTCGATAGAATTGATAAAATTCGCGAATAATTTGTTTACCATATCAATGAATTACGTCTTTCGTTGACTCCGAAGAACAAACAAAGCAGAAAACATTTTTTTGTCCTTTTTATATTAAAACTAGGTTTTATCTGCGACTTTACTCGCGATCATGTCCTAAATACGTGTTAAAAATCATCGACGACCAGATAAAACTAATTTATCTGTCCCTCAGGAACAGTATTTTTTTTCTGGATAGAAGGCACCCCATGTCCTTTCCTATATCCCTGACAATAAGTGTACAAAATTTATGATAGGTTTTATCCTCGGCCTCCCTCGCATTGATGCCCTAAATGATCTTTGACGAGGATCATCGACGACAACATAAAACTAATGTTTCTATTGGACGAATCTAAACCCACTTATGGTAAGATATGGAATTTATTCCATATTTATTGATTTCAGCCTCATAAGAACGATTTACCAAACTGCTTACAACTTCATAGAGATTTTCAAGTTTCATGGGAAATCTTCGGACCTGCCATAACAATTCAACTTGCAGGACAAATTAAAGAGGATGAATATATGGCGTTTGGCTTGTCAGGATCACCAGAAAAAAGTCAAATGTTGGGGGCGGATGTTGCAGTAGCTTATATCCACGAATATAGAGGATTAGCAACAGATTACAACATTACAGCATTAACAGCGGTAAATATACCAAGAATAATAATTACTAAACGAACTTTTAGTAATTACAATTAAACTCTTACGATAGACGTATATTATCGATAAGGATGCGTATTACTTAGTACGTATTTTTGACCGTCTATAAATTGAATATTTTTATAGAAGTCCAAATTATTTTAGGATTTTTATTTTCTCCATTTTTAAGATATTATAGAAATCAAAACCAGATTGGTCGCAAAAAAGTAAAGTAATATCACAATCAATACCTTAATGTGGTACAATATCTAGATATAATTTATTGTAATACTTTCAAAATAGTTTCGTGAAAATCGTAATCTAGAATAAGAACGAAATCTAATATGATTGCGAAGATTTTCTGACCAAAATCCCTCAATTCCTATTATATTACTTCCAAAAACAGGTACTCAAATACAATGTGGGTACATAGAAAAAAATGCTCAAAATAACTCACCAAATACAAATACGTAGTTTTTCATAACATCAACCAACCTGTAATAAATATATAACACATATATTAACAGTCAGTAAAAAAGACAAACAATTATATATATTATTGAACAGATTCGCTCTCCTGTTGATCTAAATTCGAAGTGCAAGACAATTAATAAAAATTGAAGATATTTACAAAAAAATGTATATATCCAATGTATACGTTATGATCAATAGACAAAAATGTTCATTAGACGCTCTAATTAACAAACCATCTAATAAGCTAATTTTCGGCGATTACACGGTTTTTTACATGTTTCATTTGTTATTTTAAATACAACTCCAAACGAATGTTGTACTTATATTTTTTCATTAAAAACATAATTACCTTTTAATCAAAGTGATGAAGTTTTTCCTTGCTGTGCGTATTAATAATAAAACAATCACTAAACTTAGAAACACCAATCAATTTAACCGAAATTAAAAACAGAAAGACCAAAACTCTACTCTCAATATCCTATCACGGCAACGATTGTTCTTTTTCCTGC